TATAATGGATTTAGATATTACTTGCACAAGCGTGATAACTTCAAGACTAGATGGATTTGTTCTGCACACCACAGGAAAAAATGCAAAGCATACATATATACCATAGACAATGAAATTGTCAGAGTGAATGACGATCATTGCCATTGAAAATATAATTTTTCTATTTTTTAATATTACTAACACAGGGAGAAAATGTAACCGATGCACAAATTGTAATATAGCCTTTGTTGCGGTAAATCATATTCACGTTTTTTTTCTCTAGTAAAAATAAATTATCCACTCAAATCAGGCTTAGAGAAGATGTCTAATAAACGCGTTTATTAGATAAACTGTAGGTAAACCGATTAAAATGAGTTGTGAGTCTCAACATACAAAAGAATACCATTAGTCCCAAAACATTTATAGACATCTTTTTCTATATGTCCGATGTTAGTAAAATGAATATTTTTTGTACAAAAAAAACGTTGTTAACTTGCCCTTTAATGTTTTTAGTCATAGCCCATCCTCCTTAACATCCATAAGGAAAATCTGAGTCCCTACTGTGGGGAAGTAAACGAGCTGATGAGGGTTCTAAGTAGCGCAGAATTACTGTTAAGACGAATATCTTAGCAATTTATTATTGATATAGAGCTGTTCCTTTATTTAACAAAATATCTGTTTTGTTTTTTTATATAAATTTTCATTTTTCTTCAGTCGAATTTCTTAAAAGTCAGCGTGGAAAGCCGGTGCTGAAGTATAATCATTTTACATATTACAAGCAAAAGCGTTATGGCTGCAAAATCAGATGGACGTGTTCTACGTATCAGAAGACAAATTGCAAATCGTACATATATACCATAAACAATGAAATTTTCAAGGCGTACGAAGATCATTTCCATTAGAATCAAATTTAATGTTCGTTGAAGTGTAAGGTATCTACGGCAATTAAGGCCCAGAAATGTCGTGCTAAAATGCCTATTTCTTTTCCCATTCCAACTTCACTCACACATACATTTGCATGGCGTGTAATGCATCTGCGAGTAAAGTTTCACCATGAACAGAAATGTACTACATTAAATTATTAGCGGGCCTTAATGGCCGTAAGTAGTTTATTTGTTTTATTGTTGTATACATTATCAAGCATTGTATAAAATACTGAATTTTACTGATCACCAGTTACATACACCAGTTACATAGATACACAATTGAACTAGAAAAAATAAATAGGGAACGCCAAGAAAAAATAAAAATTCATTTTTCACTACCAGTTGTGAAACTCGGTTGCCATGGCGACCTAAAGGAAAGTTACATAAAGTTATAACAAGGATTAATAAATATCTAACGTTGTACTAGTATAATGAGTTTTCTTTTGACTATCTAATAAAGAAAGTGATAATTAAAAAAGTTTTGAATATAAAATTGGGCCTTGAGTAAATTTATTGTTTTCATTATTTACAGTTGAGTTCGTGCAAAGTCAACGGGGAAAGCTGATCCTGATCAGTAAAGGGTACAGATACTGCATACAGAGAATGACTGGTCAAAAAACCAGGTGGATATGCTCCACCCACAACAGCAGAGGCTGTAAGGCCTACGCTTATACTCTGCACGATATGGATCACACCCTCGTCAAAATATCCAACTGGCATACACACGAGTCTCATAATAAACATAAACAGTAACAAGTTCATGCACAGCTAAGGTTGCAGTCTTCTGAATAAAAAAACTCTGACTCTGCATTGTATAAAGCCTAAGCCGGTAATTTTACCTTTAATGCAACCTTGCCTTCTTTAAAAGTCAGACATCACTTTCATTAAGCTGGCCTTTTTTTATTTTACAACCATAACTTTTATTAGCATAAATAATCTGTAAAAAGTCTTAGTTGTTTATTAATCACATTTTAACCAGATTAATAATAATAAATCAGACTTAATTTTTGTCATCATTTCGCATTTAAGCTAAAATCTAACAAAAACCGTATAGGCCGGACCCATAAACATTTAGCCGGACACGTTTTTAAAAAGTCAAACCTTACCGGTTTCATAGTATCCGGCCATGTCGGACAGATGTTTTTATTCGCTGAACTCGTACTTTTCATAACACATTTTTGCATATAGCAACATTAGCGGTTTGGGGCCGTCCATTAATCACGTGAGGAACGAAAGGGGGGGGGGGAGGGTGTTCGTGAAATATCACAAGGGTGGAGGGGGGGGTGTCGTAATATATCACGTGTATTAATTTTTCATCAAACGCGCGATTAAACCACGAAAATCGGCGTCAAAAAATAATATTTCTTTAGGTACTAAAAAATACACGTGAATTAGGTGGAGGGAGGGGGGGTAGTCTTAAACCTCACCATGTATCACCACGGGAGAGGGGGGGGTTCAAAAATGCTGAAAAAACATCACGTTCCTTAATTGACTTGTTTAGTTGTAGCAATGATATTTTGTTTTTGGTACTTGGTATTTTTATATTGTGAAATATTTTTGAATATGATTATATGATTCATTTGTAATAAGTATTTGTTTTGTTTCTTTATTATGTGTCCATAATTTTTTACCCGCAGGATCTGATTTCTTCAATATGTCGCTGTTGTAATAATCCGTCATCGAAAAGTATATCATACATTGACTTCGATGTGATTTTATTTGTTGCCATTTTGTTGAATCCATTGACAATAAAATCGAAACAATGCTGTTAAATATGATTCTCTGCCATTATCAACATATGTGATAATCATTAAACGATGTCTTATAGTTAAAGACCCATTATCACGTGGACCATTTTTATCTGCACCTATAAATACTCAGGAATTCCAATAATCCAAATTTGACAAGATAAAAATTTATAATCTTTATCTATATCTTCAATATTCAACATTTAAAATTTTCTTATTTATAGTTCAATTCATGAAAAGCCAACGGGGAAGGCTTCTCCTTTTTCATAAGGGATACACATACGGTATGCAGAGGAAGTTCGGTTACAAAACCAGGTGGACCTGTTCTACCCACAACAATAAAGGCTGCAAAGCGCACGCTTACACTTTAAACGATAAGGATAGCACTCTGCTCAAAGTGTTCAACTCTCATACACACGTTAATAAGTTAAATGATGACATTGTTTTATCATAATCTGTATGCCAAAGCAGAAGGAAAAAAGGCCAAGGTACAATATGAACTCCTGATCAAAATAATTAATTCTAGTTAAGGAGATGTTTCTCAAAATATATGTGGCAGTAAACGAGATTTTGTACTGTTGTTGTATATTTTACTTGGCCAATTGATCTCAGTACACCATTAAAATGTGACGTCACAGCTCTATGTCACATTTTCATGTTCAACCTATTAAGAATTAGGATTGTGGGCATACCCACCGTGCCCATACTCGGATCTGCCCTTACCGCAAGTGTACCGCGTAATTTGATTGGATTCGATTTCATTGACTTTTTTATTCATCTATATAATTTAAATACAGTACTGCTCTGAGATTCTGTAATAATCCAAACCCAAATTAGAATTTATTCAGGTGTCCCAATTCACTTCAAAAAACGGCATCCGCTCAACCTTGAATTGGTAATAACATTTCGTGGCATGAAGTGAATTTCGAAATGTCATAGAAATATCTGACACACTTATATTCAATAAATTTTACTTTTTATATAAAAAATATAATCAATAGAATTTCTACACCAAATAACGTGAATTCGGACACATGAGTGAATTCTAATTCGGGTCTGGATTTTTGCAGAATCTCTGGGCTGATATCGAAACGTGTTATTAAACTTTCTTTCTCCATATTTGATCATATTTTTCAATCTTAATAGTGAATGATTATCTTTTTTATGACAAGAAGAAACAAATATACTCTGAGATGGGATGTGAACCCAAGACCTTTCGCAATTTTTAACCATTTTTTACTAAGAGTATTTTCTAATATAGCATTGTGAATGCAAATTGATCAAATATAATAAGAAGAAACAAATAAATTTGATATTTGATGCAATATGTCTCAGAACAAATAATTATATTTTTTATTTTAATTGAGTACTTTGAGCCAAAGACTGGAAATCTTTTAATTATAATTAATAATAGCATATTCTACCAGAAGTCTATTTCCGCGTATAAGTATGCCAAATTCTATCTAAACCAGCTCAGTCGTTTAAGTTGTGTGTTGATAGATAAGTATCGTCTTAACCTTTTAAGAAAATGACTACATAAAGAGATGTAAAAATTGTTTTTATCCTATTTACTAAGACTTCTACTTGTTTAATTATTTGTAGTTCAATTTATGAAGAGTCAACGGGGAAGACTTCTTCTCATGTATGAGGGTTACACATATGGTATACACAGGACTATTGGCCCAAAAACCAGATGGAAATGTTCTACCCACAACAACAGAGGCTGTAATGCATATGCTTACACTTTGCATGAGATGAATCATGCTCTTGTCAAGATGTTCAACTGTCATAAACATGTAAATTGAATATTAAAAGTGATTCTTCATTATTTGCTCTGCCATTTCATAATACAGGACTTATTTTGAAATGTTAATGGCGTCTTGTTTAATGTACCACTTTAATATTAAGTCAATATTATTACTACAATGGCGTCTTGAAAAATGAACGGCGACAGAAGAGTTGCTATATTTTGATTTAGTAACTTAAATTGGGCTTGAAGGAGAATTTATTGAAACGTCGTTAAAACACTATAAATAAATTCAGCAATTGTATAGCTTGATGATATCTGAGAGAAGTGTTCTTGGCATGAGATCCATGATAATTATCTTTCATTACAAATCTAAAAACCAATTAATTGCTCTATCGTTAATGACGCAATATGTATATATACGAGGGTGGGTCAAAAAGTGTGCGGAATGAGCGGTATGGAGGGGGGAAAGGTAACTTTTTACTACCTGCACTAGTTGTGTCACTAATTAAAAGTATAAATACTAAGTTTAAAAAAATAGGTCATAATTACTTGAGCTACACATCAATCAACAAGTCAATCCGGAAGAAAATTTGCAACATGGAGAAAATTGAGTTTCGCGCAGTCATCAAATTCCTTACTAAACAAGGAAAACCTCCCCAGACTATTTTGGAAGAAATGTCTTCTTTTTACGGGGACTCTTGCCCTGGTAAAACCATGGTTTACAAGTGGCACAACCTGTTTAAGCAAGGCAGGGATTCGATTGAAGATGATCAGGGCAGTACTACGCTGCATTATTAGAACGTCTGTGAGATGCTGTGGGAGAAAAAAGACGGGGAAAATTGACTAAAGGTGTGCTCCTTTTACACGACAATGCACCCGTACACAAGGCATAAGTTGCGATGGCTGCTGTTCAAAGAGTGGGCTTCGAAATCTTAGAACATTCCCCTATAGCCCTGATTTAGCCCAAGTGATTATTATTTGTTCCCAAAAATGAAAAAAGTGCTTCAAGGGAAGAAATTTTTCAGCGATGAAGAAGTGAAGAGCGCAATTTCGGCCTATTTTGACGACAAAGAGAAATCATTTTTTTCGAAGGTATTAATAAATTAATTGATAGGTCTAATAAATGTATTAGAGTTAAGGGGGAATACATCGAGAAGAAAAAATAATTTTGTGTTTTATTTCTTACTTTTTACCCTCCATTCCGCCAAGTTTTTGACCCACCCTCGTATATATTGCCTCATTAACGTTCGATTTCATTTGTGAGAAAAAATATCACGAACCTGTGGTCCAAAAAGGGTTTTCATAGAAATTGTTAGCTAAACTATTAATCTAATACTGTTAAAACACAATTTAGCATGTGCTTTACAGTCTGACTGCGATCTAAATACTGTTTTAAAACACTTCTTTTTACTGGATATTAAAGTTTGATTTTAGTAATGATATTTTTATACAATACTTTTTTAAATATTGATATATTTATTTCACTGGTGACTCGGATTCGTTGTTTTTGGCATTTGTGTTAAGGAATTTTAAATCCGCTGTCTTTCTTGCTGTAATGCATGTAAATTAATGAATTCGATATTATTGGCATCGTATTGATTGATAGCATTGATCGCTGTGACAATCATTAACACGTGGATTATTTTTCTACATAACCACGATTTATAATCAAGAAAACAATAATTTACTGGTGATTTATCTATCAAATTTAATGATATATTTAATTGTGTGTTGTTCTGTTTATAGTTCAATTCCTGAAAAGCCTGAAGGGAAGACCTCTCCTCCTTTATGAAGGATATACATATGGTATACAGATGCAGGTTGGCATGAAAACCAGGTGGAGATGTTCTACTCACAGAAATAAAGGCTGCAAAGCACACGTATACACTTTAAACGACAAGGATTGCACTCTCCTCAAAGTGGTCAACTCTCATACACACGTTAGTTAATTCAATGCTTTCATTTTTTTATCTTAAACTATACCGCACAACTTGATTGGTTACGAACTTGATAGGTATCGACTTCGATCAATTAATGCACTCAACGTTTAGTATCATCGGAACTACAGCATAAGAGGTAAAGCATATCTCTAATTATATTGAACGTGGAGTGCACTTGATTCAATTCGATTCCAATCAAATTACTCGATAAGGCAGACTCTTACTTACTCGATATCTAGACTTCTTCTAAAGTATTCGCAGCTGATTTTACCAGATAGGCCGACCTCGCTTAAGTCCTTTTCAAGATGAGTGTAGGGTAGGAAAGCTCTGGTTTATTAAGGCATGCACTTAAAGCACGTATTTAGCAATCAGTATCGAAAAACGAATTATTTTTTCAAGTGCATACAGTAAGGAAAGGTGTTTGCCTTCGAGAAACTCTGTACTTTTATAAATATTTAGTTTAGCTAATGCAACGTGTAGGTACTGTATATTACAAAAAATATATTTTAAGAAATATATCTTAAACCAAATAATCCTTTGTTGTTGTTTAAGTTGTACTTAACTCAAAATAAGGAACTACTATTTTAGTCAAACTAGACTTGAAAAATGTTTGCATATTCTGCTTAAAGAAGAAGGTTTCTTCGGGGCTAAATGAGATATGCTCATAATGCTGCAGGAGCTTTAATGGCTGCAAAGTGCGGTTGACTACTTTAAATAACACCCCTTCGAGAGTTATAAATATTCAAAACCATCGAATACTGGGTTCTAATGATTAGCTCAATAAAAAGCGCAAGTAAAGCAAGCCGTGACGGTTACGTACGTCACAACGTAAATGCTAGTGATGCATGTCAACGACAAAAAATTACCCGAATTGCTTCGAGAAAAGGCCGTGTCCTATTTCTTTTTTTGCTGGACTTAGCGGGGGCACACTTATGTTACATATTTATGGTGCACGTATTATATCAGTTTTACTGAAACGAATCGTTCAACGATGACAGAAGAAAGAAAAATTAAAGTTAATTTTGAAAAAATGTAGAGTTGAAACTTTCAATAGCCTTTCTTAAAGAACATCTATGTATATTATAATTACTATTAGTGTGCCAAACTTTACCTCGATCCATCCAATATTTTGCTGTGCGTTGTACGTTGATGTATCAGTCAAGCAGTCAATCAGTCACCTTTATTTTTTAAATAGAAGATATCAAAGACTATTTGAGGAGATCTTTAAATTACCATCTGATATTTATCTCTTATTTACTGAGATTTGTACATTAATTTTTTTGTAGTTAAATTTATGAAGAGTCAACGAGGAAGACTTCTCCTCATGTATGAGGGGTATACATATGGTATACACAGGACTATTGGCCATAAAACCAGGTGGAACTGTTCTACTCACAACAACAGAGGCTGTAATGCGTACGCTTATACTTTGCATGAAGAGGATCATGCTCTTGTCAAGATGTTCAACTGTCACAAACACATCAATTAAACATTAAAAGTGATTTTTAGTAATTTTTTCTACCGCCTCATACAGGGCCTCAAAATTTGCTGATACTAATAAAATAATGGCATCTTAATGGCGTCCTGTGTAATATACCAATGTTTCATTAACTAAGGTCCAATATTATGACTACAGTGGCGTCTTGAGAAATAAACAGTGACAGATGTGTTAGAGACTTAGTTAACAGAAGGGACAGTTCTAAAGGAAGACAGTTTATTAAAATGGCGTAAAAATGGCTTACCTAAATTAATATTAGCAGAATCCAGCGAATGCTTTTCTCTTGAATCATCCAGTTATACCAATCACTAAATTCTGCTTATTTTCATGGTATATTAGCACTTGCACTCTTTCTGTTGAACTGTCTCTGTATATTTACTGATTTCTGACTAAATCACAAAATAAGAAACACAATTATCGCAGCTGATTTCTCAAGACGCCATTGTAGTAATAATATTGGACCTCAGTTAATTATACTTGTTAGGAATTATCAGCTAAACTATTTATTTGTAAAAAAATATTTTATCATGTGGTAAAACGCAATAAGTGTTTATAGTTTTGTTGTTATTATGGTTTATTTTGTTATATTTTCGTTGGATAATATATTTTATATTCTGTTTGGTAATTTGTATTTTTATATAGTAAAAACTTTTAAATATTTATATTTTTTATTTGTAATCAGGATTCAAAATCAAAATTATTTATTCAGTCTAGGCTGTTCACTTGTGAAAGTGGAGCGCTACGCCATCGGTTCGTAAATCTACGGCGAGAGACCTTGTACCCAGAAGAACCGGCAAGAAACTCGGCAAGGGCTGCTTTTTTCTCCCTGTTTTATTTCATACAGAGCGTCAAGATTGAAAAATGACTTCATTTAAATATGAAGTCACTTTCCTTCTTATATAGAGTAGATATAGATTCGTTTTGTTTCTAGCGTCTGTGTCCAGGAACTTTGTATACACTGCGTTTGTTGCTGTATTAATGTTGTCATACGTCTTCGAAATGTATGTCACTTAATTTGACTTCGATTTTATTGACATCGTATTCAATGCCAACTAAATCGAAGCTAATGTCATAATGTTCGTGCTCTATCGTCATCAACCGTTGTGGCAACAATTTAATGTCAGAACTATTATCACGTGGACTATTTTTATATGCATCAATAACAATGATTTCCAATAAACAAAAGATCAGAACAAACAAACAAAATACGTCAATAATTAACTGGTTATTGTAGACCACATTTAATGGTATTTTTAATTTTTATTTGTTTATAGTTCAATTATAAAGACATAGAAAATCCGTTGCGTGTCGTGCGATCGCTGCATGCAAGTGGACAATCATCTAAAATATATATCTTTTATATTAGATAAATGTTCATTATAGCTAAAACGTCTGATTCCTAAAAAAATATATTGTTTTCCTTTTTCTCGTGTCTCTATCATTAATTTGGTTATACCATAGCTATATATGTATGCATCTAGTGTATGTATCGTCTTTTTAATGATTTTTTTTAAAGTCTAATTTTTTTAGTTACTATTCAATTTCAGTTCGGTACGTTATGTCGAGACGTGGCAAGCCCTTGTTACAATTTAGAGGCGATACGTTTAGAAGAGCGTACGTACAACGCGACGGCAGAACTTCATGGATCTGTTCCAAAAGGCCAAATTGTCATTCCAGAGTTATAACTAACCAAGAAAATAATGTAATTATGTACAAAGCAGAACACGATCATTGAATATTACCAATATAAACACGACTAGAATTAAAAAGAAGTGTTTTATTACCTTTATATTAAACCTGATTATAGGGTGAGTGCACCAGTAGCAGACCGAATATGCGATATTTTCAAATTAATTTTGAAGATGTCACTCAATGATTGCAACAAACACTGCGAAAAAATCTTCTTACTAAATATATAATCATGTAACGTATTAAAAATTTCCTAATAGCTATTAATGCCCGTTTTCACTAACGTAGAACAAGGCATAGCTAAACAATAAAACATTTAATATTAAGAATAGCGTAAGCACATTTGTCGTTTCACCAAACCTGTAACGTTAGATAATACCTAAGCACTTGCTTAGAAAGGCAACGTTTGTCTATGATTTTGCATACTTCAGTTCTTCAGTAATGGTGCGTCTAACACTTGTTTAGACACTACCGATTAACGTCAAATTAACGATATCATTATTCAGTATCTATAATAAAAATTCGCAAACACAATCGCTATCACGTGTTAAATAGTTGTAGTACGAAGTTCGTGGATAT